TTGTACTGTCTCAGCTGGGTAAGACCACTGTGCAGACCTAGGTGTGCATCCACTGCATTGCAGGGGCAGTTCCAGGATTTCCAGTGAGCAAATCCATCACCTTTCTCTTACTGCATGTTATTCGATACGCTGCATACTCATATTCTTATTTCACATGTTACTGTTTCAGATCCGTACGCCCCAAAGACAGAGAAGCAGACATTCTATAAGGCCTTCATCCTGGTGATGAGACACGGGCCGTACCTCACTCTAACTGCTGCATTCCTCTTCATCACTGTCGCCATTCAGGTAAATGCAAATTTATTTATAAAGCACTTCTTAGACATGACAGTCAGCGTTACAGTAAATGGAGCCAGTCCTGGATCCTGACAGTGCGGAAGAATTGCTGGCGCTCAATGTTGATTTGATCAATGTAGAAGAGCACTTACTGAAAGCTCATGGTTTAAAGCATGTTTTAAGTCTCAGGACTCTTGAGAGCGCAGCACAGCCTTGCTGTTTGCCTGTCACATGTAGGCCGATGCTACAGTTTTGACACTTCAGGTTTAGGCTGATTCAATTATTGCAGACTTTCCAACTTTTGCATCAAATCTATTTCTGTATTTTTTCGTGCTCTCATCTCAGAGGAGGTGTCAGTTGTCATCCATGTGAGGGAGATAGAGGGAATAAATCACTGCAAAACACCGTCAGCAGCTTCTCCAGTCACTTCATTTGGCACTCAGCACAGCAAGCTGAGTGCCGAGCGACAGTGCTGAGTAGACAAGACGAGGCTGACTATCTGAATGTTTGATCTCTGATTTCTGCAGCTGGTACAGAGCAACTTTGTCCTCTTCTGCACTTACGCCGCCGACCTGAGGGATCACTTCCAGAATATTGTGCTGACCATTCTGGTGAGTACAGCTTTTATCACTGATTCCCCTCACAAATACTTGTCTGTAAATTACAAAGGTATAGATGCATGATTTAAAAAACTTGAGTAGCATAGACTACATAGATTGACAGTTCTTTATAACTTTAGTTATAACTCCAGTTTTAGATGAATCTTAGATTTTTATGTAGACCTTATGAATATAGACACTTGCCTTATTGCACATCTTTTCCATTGGTATTTCTTTTTCAAAATCTACTAGACTGAATCATATTCAAAACAGTTCTCCTTACAGATGCGTCATACATTTTCTGCTTGCACATGTTTACCCAGGTTTCTGCAGTGATAAGCGTCCCGTTCTGGCAATGGTTTCTGCGGAGGTTTGGGAAGAAGACGGCCGCTTTTTGCGGTATCACAGTGAGTATACTGTTTTTGTTTTGGTTTGCCAGAGCAGCTTTTGACACGGCTTATTACCCTTTGATGGTTGTGCCATCTTGTGGGCAATGTTAGGAATGCGGCATCCTTCTCTTAATCACAAAAACAAAAACACACCTGAAAAATGTCAGGTTTTGAATTTGTTAGAGATTTAAGACTTTTTTTTCCTCTATCTAGTGGATCATGCCCTTCACCATGATGCTGGTCTTCATCCCCAATGTTGTGGTGGCCTACGTTGTGGCTGTCTCCTCTGGACTCAGTGTGGCTGCCTCGCTCCTGCTGCCATGGTAAGACTTCCAAACACACACAAATCCAATTTTCTGTGAAAGCCACCCTTATTCTTCTGGGAGAATGTCACTTACCCATCAAATATAGGATTTCCACAGTTATTTGAATTCAAAACACCAAGTCATTAAAAAAAATAGTTTAAACATTTAAGTTAAATCAACGGATCAAGAGTTTCTTCTTCGTCTCTGTGGCTCCATCCCTCCGGCCCACAGCATGAAATCGGCAAGATTATTTGTTAAAATTATTTTTTCTAGTTGTTTCATATCAACTACCCCTTCATAGAAATTAAAGTAAAAACACAATTCTACAATTCTGTTTAGTATTTAGTTAGTACTGGAAATATTTTCAGTTGCGCTTTTTTGTAGTACTTCAAAAAAGTGGTTCAAAAAGAGGCAAGCTCGGTAGACTGGAGACTCTAAAGTATGTTGCCTTTGGTATATAAATGTAAGTCTGAGAGTCAGCCCTATTTAGGACTGTCCAGGGCGTCTCCCTGCCATCTGTCCAGTTTATGTTCAGAGAGCCCTCCCCCCCCCCAATGAGGATTCAAAGAAATATGCTACGGCTCACTTTATATCCTAAGAATATAAATGTACATCCCTAAAATATTCAAAATCCACTAAGCCTCTGGCATTGTTTATGTAATTGCAGTCCTGCTATATGTCTGTCTGTGCAGTGGTTGTACTGCTCATGTTGGTCTCCTTTGATTTAATGCAAAGTGTCATTAGTCAAACCACAATAGTGCACCAAGATGCTGTTAGTGGTGACTTGGGGCCTAGAGGGCCATGTCCATTCACTTGGGTCACGTCACGGTCATAAAAATGATGTCATTTTTAAGAATTAGAGCCGGTGTCTACTATAAATCTTTTCTACCATCACAGAGCTAATACAACACCAGAGGTAAAGCAGTCTCCTTCTGTCCGTTCTCCAGTTGTTTCTATGGCAGACTCTGCTCCTCACTCAACTCTTGTCCCCTTCCTCAAACCCTAAATTACAGGGGCCTCATGGTGGCATGTTTATTTTGGAAGGGGACAATTGTTTATCCTGTCTGTGGGCTGAGGCCGGTGGTACCGCCCGCTGCTCATCATCTAATCGTGCTATTAGCTCTGTAATTTTAGCACACCGGTTTATCAGAGCTCTATAAGTAGACCTCACATCATCAGCTGCGACCATCTTAAGTGGTTGTATAAGATGATTAAAGTAAGAGTGAGGGAGGTCGTAGGCACACATCCGCTTAAAATGTTGCCTTGTCTTAGAGTGATGTTGAGTTTTAAAGACACATGCTCATAAAACCTGCAAAAAAACAAAAACACAGATAGCGTGCATTCAACTCGCATGTATGTTTGTGCCTTTCAGGTCTATGCTGCCAGATGTGGTGGATGACTTCAGACTGGCCAACCCCCACTCTAAAGGCCACGAAGCCATCTTCTACTCGTTCTACGTGTTCTTCACCAAGTTCGCAGCTGGCATCTCCCTGGGAGTGTCCACCCTCTGTCTTGAGTAAGTCTGCACTGCTATCACATTGATTTACACACTATGATGTTCTGCATTTGCACTTAGAGTGTTATGGTCCCATGCAGAAATGAACCCCTAGGCCTGATTCATTATTAATCATGTGAAAGGTGTTGAGTTTGCAGTAGCTGTGTTGCAGTGTCAGACTGGATGTCGATTTCCTTTAACCTGTATTTAAATGGGATCTTTGTGTGTGTGTGTGTGTAGATTTGCAGGTTATGACACCGGCGCTTGCAAGCAGCCTGCTCCTGTAGTGTACACCCTGAAGCTGCTGATTGGTGCTGCTCCAGTGGCCTTCATTGTTACAGGGTTAATGATCCTGCTGCTCTATCCTATCAGTGAAGATGTCAGGCTCAGGAATAAACTCTGCCTGGATGAGTTACGGTGAGTAGAAAGCATTAGCCTGAGAAAAAATACTTGAACCTTTCTGTATTTAAAGGGGCACATATTAATATTGATTAAAAAAAAGTTAAGTTATGTTTAGTTGTCACAAGTTACTACTGATGATGCCATCAGGGTTATTTTTCCTTTAGAAAGTTTGGCTTGGTTTTGAGACTTTCACAGATAGTCTGTTACAAACTGTGTGTTTGAAGAAGTGGGCACTTCAGAGGCACTAAGGGTCTAATGAAAGATGCCATTGACTTGCATGGATCCAGTATTTTTGAAGCTTGA